TTTCCCTGGCAGTCCCTCCGAAGGAGCCAGTGCTGATGTGCCGGTCCAACAACTACCCAAAGGGTTTCTACTGCAGCTGGCACCTGCCCACTCCCACCTACATCCCCAACTCCTTCAACATCTCCGTCATGTAAGTGCCTGGGAAGGAAGAGTGCAGAGGGGTGAGTTTTTGTCCCTGCAGCCTGGAGCAGGTCCCAAGTAGTGCCATGAAGTCTTGGGGCAATGGGTCTGACCTGTGCTGAGCTGAGCTTATGGGATCTGTGTCCCAAAAATGAGCCTGGGGAAGGATTCTCCGGGGATGCTTGGCACTGGGGCTTTGTCCCAAGAAAGTTCCAATTTCCCCAGAGGGGACCAGGAAAGTCCCCAGCTCCCAGGTCCCCTTTCCACACCCCCTAAGTCCATCCTCTCTGCACCACTTGTCCACAGTGGAGGTTGTGGCCGCTGTTTTTTTGGTGCGTTTGGCACAGCCACGCTCCCTCCTGCCGTATGCTGGCTGCGTCTGGGCAGCAGCAGTGTCCTTCACCTAGAGCTGGCCATGGCATGGTATCGTCCCCCACCCCATGCCTGGGTCCTGGCACAGCCCTCATGCTGACCAGTGCTATGCATTATCTTCTGGGGCTTGTGTCACCAGCAGAAAGGAGACCCCGTTCCCCTCACAGGAGGGAGGTAGCCAACCCCAGCCCCAGCAGGGTCTCATCCTTTCCTTGGGGCCAGCATGAGGACATTCCCTGCGGTCTCTGTGCAGGCTTAGAATAAAGCATCACACACATGAGTCTGCAAATTCCCTGTCAAGAGGAAAGCATCCCTTTGGTTGCAGCTGGGGCTGGTGCATGGGGGCTGTGAGCAGAGCCGGGGGGACACAGCACTGCTCCTTCTGCCTCCTCCCTCCAGCAGCACGGGTGCATCTCCACCCCAAGCACCGCTCTGTCAGTAACAGCTCTTGCCTCTGCTTTCCAGACATGGCACGAGAGAGATGGTCTGCGAGAAGGATGTCTTTCCCAAAAACAGGTGCCACATCAGATACCTCCAGCTCTTCTCCACAGTGAAGTACAAGGTGACTCTGACAGTCACGAATGCTCTGGGCAAAAACTCCACCACCCTCACCTTTGATGAGTTCGCCATAGGTAACTTCCGCGGCACCAACTGGCCTCTCCAGGACAGTGTTGGGGTTGGCTTGCTCTGCATGCAGTGTCGCCCACCAGAGCAACGGGCCAGGGAAGGGGCAGGGTCTCCACTTGGAGCCTCTACCTATTCATACATTAGATGGAGCCGGGGTCTGAGCCACGCTGGCATCGTCCCCACGCCCCCTGATTCTCACAGCCCTGCTGTAACCAATGCTGATGCTTGAGCATCCTGGGGGAACCAGGCAGGATGCCCACAGGTAGCCCCTGTGCTGGTCCCATCGGTGGCCTGGTGCCCTGCCTGGCCCCATCGCCAGTGGTCCAGGGCTCCCAGTGGTTGCTGAGCTCCTTCCTGCCTGGGGTCTGGGGAAGTGGCTGCCACGCACCAGGCAGGGGGCTGTGAAACTCTTGTGGTCCAAATGGCATTGCCCTTCTCACCCCTGTGAGTGTTTCTAAAAGAGAGGTTTGGTGTTTGTGCTGGAAGCAGAGTCATGAGAATTAAGACTGGAAGAGACATTTTAATTTCTCTTCTCCCATCCTCTTGTCTTCCTCCCTAGTCAGGATAAAGCCCTCCCAAAGTCATCCTCCACCATCCCTTACCTATCATGCTCCTGAAAACCCAATTTCCCCCTTTGCACCTCTTCATTGCCCCACCCAGGCAGTGAATGCTGTGCCATGTGGGACATGCCGGTGTGTCCATGCCTCCGGCTGTGCCATAGGGATGCTGCCCAACCATGTCCGTACCCACAGTGCAGATGCTCCTCCGACTGTGAAGGACCGAGCAATTCAGTGCCAAGCACGACAAAGCAGGGAGCTGGACACAGTGCTTTTGCCACCAGCCAAAGCCGGATTACAGCCGGTGCCATGAAAAGACTGTCCATCCTCAAAGAAAAGGAAAAATGGAAGAGAATGGAGTTCAGAAACACATCGAAAAACAATTTTCTGGTTACATGTGGCAATTACTGGACCAGAAAAACAAATAAATGAATCCTTGAAGCGCAGCCAGCAGTCAGTCTTTGCCTTCAATGTGCTGCATGTCCCAGTCCTGAGCAGCTAGAAGTGCCAGAGTGCAAGAAGAGGAGCTCCACTACTGTCCCAGATTTTCCCTTTCTACTCCAAATCCTGGAAAACATTAAATAAGAAACAAGGTGCCAGCTCTGAATAGAGCAGGGAAATTATTTTGGAGTGAGGACTGTCCTGCCATGTCCCCACAGCAGCAGTCCATATCTGAAGCTTGTATTTGTTGGTGCATTGCAAACGTTGATAACAAGGCAAGGAGCTTAGCAGGGAAGTGGTGGAGTTTCAGTCACTTGGGTGCCTTTAAACGGAAATTGTTATGTTTGTGGAAGATACACTCCTTAAAAATGAAGGTAACCTCCAGCCTGCAGGGCCCAGAGCAGCAATTAAGCTGCATTTTCCGAGTTCCTTGCATTCCCTCCTGCAGGAGTTCAGGGCATCGTCCTGTAACATCTGCATCCCACCCATGCCCTGCCTGGCTTCCCAAACATCTGATCTTCTGTCCAGCACACAAGGGCAACCCCCTTGGGAAGCACACCCAGCTGCAAACCCCGGGCATCCCAGCACCAGCGCAAGCCGGATCCAGCCCAGCAGTTTGAACTCAGCTGGGGTCAGAGGAGCAGTGAGCAGAGGCCAGCGTTGCCCTGGACCAGGGGTTAGCACGAGTGCAATATCGCTGTCTCTTGCAAGAGTGCCTGGAAGGGTGCAGGGTGCCTGGACATGTCCCAGCAGTTGCGGTGGAAGGTGAGACCCCCCAGCACCACCTGGTAGATGCTCTAACGCCCTCCAGGATGGCACTTGGGGCAGGGGTGATGGGCCGGTGCCCATAGGAAGGTCTGTGTCCTGCACCCTGGAGCCAGCCTGCTCCCATAAACACTTCAATATCTAGTGGCCTTAAAATCTACACATTCTGTACAGCTATGAAGTTCTTCTCCTCAGGATTTGGTACGGCTGCCGTGCATAAGAGGCACGGATGTGGTGATGATGGAGTGTTCAAGCAGGCAGTCAGCAGGCTTAGCAGAGTCATTACAGCATGAACTCAGCTGCCACCAATCAACAGCCACCTACCCTGAACAGAGCTTCTCCTTGTGCCGTCCTGGTGTTTCCAATTAAAACAAGTGCACTGCATTAGTGTATTTTGCCACACAATTTTGCCCCAGATTGCCTGCTCTCCTTGCAGAGGCTTCTGCATTTCATTGTCGCTTCTGACTCTCTTCTCTGCAGCTGCAAATGCGGGGCTGTGTCCCAGTGTGGTGGGTGCTGGCTGTGTGGATCTAGCACCCAGTAGGTTCCCTCTCTACCAGTGTCAGCTGGGCTGAGATCTCATTTTGGAAGTTGTGCTGGGTTTCACTCTGCTAGATGGACGGTGGAAAACCTGTGGCTCAGGACAAAGCCATTGCATCGGAAAAATGCTGCGTGGGAGCGTTGTGACATGTGCATGCATCCTGCTAAAATGGAGAGGCAGTGTCAACCAGCAACTGCAGGATGCTTCTCCTAAAATCCCAGGGCTTGGGATGTCAGAGCCTGCCTTGTGTTGTCCCCTTAGCCTAGAGAAAATCATCACACCTTCTGCATGGAGGTTAAACCACAGGTGTGAAGCCCTGATCTCATGCCCTGCTGGGGATGGAGCAGCCTGGAGCCAACACAAGAGCAGTGCTGGCCCGGCAGCTCTCCCTCCCAGCACCATGTAAGCCAGGAGCAGACCCACTGCTGGGTCGGACCACACACCCAGCCTGGGCAAACACAAAAAGTTTTGCTTCCTCCCTCCTTTCTCCCTCCATGGAGCCCCCAGCAGAAAATCCCTTCCTCAGCCACTTGCAAGATGGGCTCTAATTGAGTGGAAAATGACCGGTACTTTCTTTTGCTAGCCCAAGCCCATGCCTTGCTGGCAGTCATGCCGTGCTGGTTATTAGCAACCGGCTGCCAGGGGTCACTCTGCATTGTGATTTTCAATGATGACTGGAAAAGCTTTTCCAGCCCTCTGGCCCCCATCTCTCATTGGTAGGAGATCCAGGCTGCCTTCCTCCTCATCTTGCTCCTGGAAATTGTTTTCATAATTACATCTTCTGCAGACGTATTGATATTAATAAAGGTGAGCGTGATGAGGACAAGGTTCTGCAAAGCCCTGCAGACATGAGAGCTCCATCCCAAGGCAGGAGGAGGTGGGAAAGAGGCTGGAGGAGCTGGAGGGGAGAGGGCCTGGAGGCAGAGGAAGGTGCCAGGGAGGAGTAAGGTGGTGTGTCAGGAGCTGCCACCTCCCTCGTGATGGCTGGGACAGGATAAGGACATTTCTGGCCCTCCAGGACACAACCCCACCTTCCCCACTTGTGTTTCAGCCCTAGAACCAGGTAGCTGGCACATGAATGCCCCAGGAAAGCAGGGGCACCACCACCACCACACAGCAACACCAGCATCCCACCTCAGTGCCTTCCTCCTCATGTAAGCCTGGGGCAAGTTAGCAGGAGAAGAGGCACAGCATTAAAAGGAGGAAGGCAGCCTTGGACAGGGCTGTGCAGACATGGGTGCATATCCCTAAATCTGCCACCCTGTCCCTTGTGTGACCTTGGGAAGGTCGTCTAATCCTCCCAGCTCTGTCTCTGGGGCATTTAAGACATAGAGCATCTCAGAGGGGCTGCATGAGGACAAACGTGCCCATGTCTGTACAAAATTCAGTCTCTGAACACGGGTATACAGTTGCCTAGGCAGAAGGTCAGTTCAATTCATACTACTTAGGGAAGCAGAATTAAATTACCTAGACTGACATTTGGCTAAGACATGGAGTTTAATATCCCTCTGCTCATGGAAAATGCCAGGGGATATTTAACGGCCGCAAGGGATCCATTTTAGCGCTCGTTGGAGAGACGGGTTGGGCGATGGACCCCTCCATGCTGCAGGGTCTCAGCTGCCTTTCTGAAGTGCCAGCTTCATTTTGATATGTGTCTTACAGCAGCCAGCGGCGATGGATAGCTAAAGACTCGCAGTTAAGTGTGAGCATACAGAGCCTTTAGGAAAAGCTGCTCTGCATGGCTCTTCTTGCACGCCAAGCCCTCACTCGGACGTGGCAGCCGAAAACCAACCAGGGAGAGCTGTGAATCGCCTCCCAGCCAAGTCCCCTTCCCAGGAACGTCTGATGATGTTCTCCCAGCTCTGCGGGATAATATTACATCTGGTTTTGTAGCTGCTTAACCAGTACTCAGCCTAATGCCCATCGTCCATTATTATTATTACTATTATCGCTTTTATTATGTTACTGCCTGCGGGCCCTCGCCGAGGACGGGGCTCTATTATGCTGGCTGATGTACAGCCAGACAGCCCCTGCCTTGCAGTATGCCGGCTAAATGGAGGCAGACAAAGGCTGGGGAAGGAGGAGCACTCATCCCCATGTGTGGAGCAGGGACCCAGGAGACTGGAGGATAAAGGACTCCTTCAAGGTCACCTAGAAATTGGGGAGCTGGACACAGCCTGCCTCCCTTTGTTCCTCAGCTGGCCCCTGTGGGACCAGCCCTGATGTTTCCCATGAGCACGGTGTAATGATGTCTGTCCTAAGAGATGCAGGTCTGTCCTCACTGGACCGGCTGCTGGACATGCGGTCCCCTCTCCTGGCTCTTGCATCCCCACCACCTTGGAGGGACGTGGCAGGAACAGCTTTGGCTTTGTGCTTTTGGAGAGGCTGGCACTGCTGCGCTTTCTAGCCTGGGCAGGAGTCCCATGGATGGGGGACACATGCGGAGGTAGCAGGGACTGCTGGTTTTCCCATTAACCCGCAGCCCTGTTTGAAGGCTTGCCGCAGCCGGGAACGCAGCCCCTTTCGATGGCTGGGCTCTGCCGTGCTTGCTCGGAGCCAGGGCAGCCCTCCCCTGTGTGCCAGGGACAGTGTCCAACCTGCAGGAGCAGGGCTGGGGGGGTCACATCCCTGCAAAATGGGTGGGTGACTCCCACCTCAGCATCACAGCACCAGTTTGTTTTTTGCTTTCCTCCAACACACTACAAGGGCATCTCTCATTGCTGCCCAAGCACATGTGCCCTGCCTGGCCCAAATGCATTTAAGCACCCCTCTGCCATGGCTCCAGGCTGGCACACCAAAAAGCCAGGACAGGATCCCTACTTTACCCCAGGGAGTATCCTGTTGTGTCCATCCCCAGCCCTGCGCTTTTCTTCCCACTTCCTCACTGCAGAGCCACAGTTCACAGTCATCTGCGTTCGTTCAGCCAGACTTTTGTTTTGCAAACCGAGCCCGCCAAGCCAGCACTGGATTTATACTTTTCCATATGCTTTTGGACTCCAAGTCCCTGTCGATGGAAGCTGATGTCCAGCCTGAGCCCAGGGATTCAAAGCAAGCGGAGGAATTGCACAGCCATCTGGAGTAGCTCAGCACGGCGCAGCCCCAGCAAGTCGTCCCTCCTGCCGAGGATAAAGCTGTAAATGGAAAATTGTGTCCTTTACTGCTGCAGAGAGGGGTCAGTGGGAGCCGGGAGGTGGCACTAGGCACCCATGGTCAGGCCCATGGGTGCTTGCTCACCAGCTGCTCCCCAAACCTCCAGCAGCATTCTTTGAGCGCTGGGTGCAGTGGGGATGGAGGAAGCTGTCCAGCCCTCCTTGCACCCACCACGGCAGAGGCAAGGCAATGGGAGACAGGAGAGGCTGTCAGGGTGGTGGTGAAGATGATGCTGAAGGAGAACTACAGCAGGGTGTGTGCCAGGGAGCTGGGCTGGGGAGAGGGAGGTGGTGGTGGACTATGTCTCAAGGGGAACAGGGCAAATTCTGGGTCCCACTAAAGTGGTTGGGCTGTGGCTTAATTTCAGCAGCACCCCTCTGCCTCACCTGCGGCCAAGAAAGTGGGTTTGAAAGCATCACGTGCTGATTTCTCCTAAGAGGAGCAAGCGGTGGTGGTGCAGGGAAGGTGTCTTCCTGGGGACAGTTGCTGCGATGCCACCATCATCCTGGAGCAGAAATGCCAGTGAATGGCACACACGTGACTCCACTTGCAGCAGACTCCACTTGCAGCAGACTGACCCCACATCAGTGCCGTACAGCTTCGAGCCGAGGGAGAGAAGCCCTTCATGCGTAGGTCAGGGCTGCAGGCAGCAGGCAGGCAGGCTAGTGAGGGAGCAGGTCACTCGCCACCACCACCTCCTTCCTCTCCCAGGGGAGGCGAAGCCCCTGTGTGGACATCACTTCCCACCCACAGCCGGTGAACCCCTGGGGTCAGCATGGACGAGAAGACGTCTGAGTGCAGGGCAGGAGCTCTGCCAGGCAGAGAGGGCCTCCCCATGGCCCCAGTCTCCCTTTCCATGCTTGAGAGACGAGTTTGATGCTGGCACCTTCACAAGCTGCTGCTCCAGGTGGTCAGAGCCAGGGGACCATTACTCAGTCCAGAGGTTTTCAGGCCAGAATGCATTGGCCTGCATGTGGATTTTGGAGGGGGTTAAAAGCCCTCCCAGGACATGAGGAGTCATGTGCATTGCTATTCTTAGAGTGCATGGAGAGCCCTCTTCCACCTCTGGCACAGCTGCGCGCTCAGCTCCCCATGCCCAGCTCCTTCTTGGCCATGAGAAAAGGAGAAGCGTGGGTGTACCCAAATCTTGGCCTTTTTGTAGTTTTGCTATTGTAAATTGGGAGCTTGAGCTGTCAGGAGTTGAGCAAACCCTTGGCGAGGAGCAAGGCTCGCTCTGCAGTGGGCAATGCTGTTCATCACAGCCTGTCTGTGATTTGCTCCCAGCACTCTAAAAGTAGCTGCAACTTCAAAGCACGTTGGATGGCTCACAGCCAATTAATATTCACTTGAAATACTTATCAGGTAGCAAGAAAATATCCCTGTATCCCAAAAGCAGTGCAAGGCTGAGAGAGACCTAGGGTGGAAGGTGACAATGGCAATCCTTCGCCCTTGGCAAATATGATGTGCCAATGCTTTGAATCCCCAAAATCCCAGCCCTAAACACAAGGGCCAAACTCTGCCATGTTACTGGGAGGTAAGCGGGCTTGAATGTGGGTCAGACTCCCAGAAATTAGGAGGTGCAGGATTTGGTTTTGGTGGGCTTCTCTCCCTGACCCAAGTAGCCCTGGGGAGCAGAGATGCTCTCTGCCCTGCCCAGGTTGTTTCCACATGTCTCCAGCAGTGGCACTCCCTTGACAGTGGTTATTTTGAGCCAAGACAGCTGTAGTGCTGATCTGGACAGGAAAAGGTGATTTGCATCTAATCAGTTTGGGAAAAGGACATTCTGCATGTCGGCTGCACCCTTTGGAAAGCACACAGCATAAAGCCCAGCAGGCTGTGCCGAGGGGTGTAAGGAAGGATGCCACGTGCAGAGCTTTACCAGCCACCCTCTTCTCTTTCAGTAAAGCCAGACCCTCCTGAGAGCGTGGTGGCCAAACCCGTGCCCAATAACCCTCGGAGGCTGGAGGTGTCATGGCAAAACCCCTCATCCTGGCCCGACCCCGAGTCTTTTCCGCTCAAGTTCTTCCTGCGATATCGACCCCTCATCCTGGACCAGTGGCAACACGTAAGCGATGCTGAGCTAGCCGGAATGGGAGGGAGCGGGGAGGAGCTGGTGGCTGGGAACACATTGCACTGGGAACAAGTAGTGAGGGACCCAAAAAATGTGTATTTACTGCTCAGGCAACCCAGACCCTTTTCGACTCCTTCTGTCTCTCCTCCCATCTCTCTTCCTCTCTGTCTTTTAACTCACATTCTGCCTACAAATGGCTCTGCAGGCTCTCCCTGCTCTGCATTTTCATCCACGACCCCTATCTACTTTCCATACATATGTTCTATATAAAACCTGCCAACGAGATGTAAAAGGCATTTAAAGTATAAATGTCACCACATTTAAATGCGCCTCTGCCACATTTAGATTTTGAACTGAAGATAAAATACCGCTCGCCATAACTCAGAGCACAGTCACGGAGTGATTGCCACGATGTTATCATATTTCTTACTTTTATTTCTTGTTTCTTTAAAAAAAAAATAGTCAGTGAAATCCTTGGCAGCCCGGAGGACAGATTTCATTTGTTAACTGCAGGAAGATAACGAACGGGCTTTTTTTTTTTTTTTTCCCCTCTGTGCTGCTTGCACACTCGGCTTGTGAAGGAAAGCAATCTGCTGCTCGAGGAGAGGTGCTGCTACGCTGGCATGGCTCATCCAGCATCCCCTCTGCGCTGAGCTGGGCCAGTTGAAAGCCTATTCGATGCTTCGCTTGATAAAGCATTTTGTCCAAAAAAATAAGACAAGTAAGAGGTAGCACCTAGTCCCCGGGGAGCTCACCTGCATCATGGAGCCAAGCAGGGTTTTCTGCCAGCCAGCTCTTCTTGGGGAGAAAAGTGGCTGAGGGAGGGGATGGGAGGCTTTGCTCGTGTCTCTGCAAGATGTTGGTGTCTCAGCGACTTTTTCTTTTTGCATTGGTTGGGTTTTTTGACAAGGCATCACCACAGGTCATGTTTCAGATTGAAATGTTTGCTGATGGCTTTGAAACTCAGAGAAGGGTTGGGAGAGGGTTTTCGTGCTTGTCTCTCTTTACTCTTCGCTTCCCTCCCGGGAATGGGACAGCCTCCATGGAGAATCCCAAGGGGTAAGAAAGCAGAGGTGGGGTTTAGGTATGAGTTTGCTTTGGATTTTTTTTTTTAACTTGGGGGAGAAATGCTTAAATTGTAGAAGTTGTGAAAAAGGGGGAAGAATTAATGGGAAATACCAAATGCAACATCAGTTTTTTCAAGATGTGAAACCGTTGTGGAGAAAGCTGATGTTTTTACCCCACCACAGCCTAATCCAGCTGGGCACCTTGCAAATGCAGGGGTTTGCACCTAAAAATAGAAGGACAGCCAGCGAGCTTCCTCCCACCTTGACATCCTCAGGGTGGCCAGTCCCTCCATCATTTCATATTAGGTATCATATTTGTGGGGTCACGCCGTGCCAGTCCCCCTCACCGCAGGGTCTCCGAGAGGGTGGTGTGGCCTCTACATCGGTGCTCTCAGGCAGGCAGCAATGGTGGGAAATACGTGGAGGTGCTGGGGGCACCAGTGGCAAGGCCACCCTGTCTGGAAAAGGCAGTTCTAGGGCAGTAAAAACTTGATTTTTGCTATTTAAAAATACCCTGAGCTGCAGAGAGAGATCAAGCTACCAGCCCTCGTGGTGGGTGCAAGGAGGGCTGGGAAGGCCTCATCTCCCGGGGTCCTGGGAGGGCAGAGCAATCCTGGATACTGTTTTTAATCAATATCCCCTTGCAAAAGACGTGTTCCCCATCACTGGCCAACGGAGAAGTGTGTTTGGGGAATAATTTGCTTGGTGAGCAAGTGCAAGCATTCAATGAGTGAAGTACCAGGTTTGTTTTCTGACTCTGTGCCCCTCCAGCTGGGTAATGAAAAATCTGATTTGAGGAAAACTGCCACTATTCATCAGATGAATTATTTGCGAAGCCTAATTCAATCAGCTGCCAAACACCAGGGGATGGCAGCACTGCTGCAGCCGGAGCCGCTCCAACCCCAGGCTCTTGTGGCACGCTCAGCCTGCTTAGCCCATACGGGCACCCTGCAAATGCAGGGGTTTGCACCCAAAAATGAACTCTGCCGATGCCAGCATACTGGGAGCATACCCAAGCCATGCTGAGCTCTGCTTTGCTTGACCTATTGCTTGTTGGCATCTTGGGGGGTTTCCCTGTTCCCCCAAATCCAGCCAGGAGAGGGAAGCACGTGATTTGGTAGGGCCAAGCCTCGCTCAGCCATCCAGCTCATCCTACGGTGGTAGTGTTGGGTCTCTCCTCAAAGGGACAAGTGCCCTGAGAAAGGATGCAGTGCTCATGCATGCCATGCATGGGGTGTCTTAATTCTTGCCAAGATGAAGGTCTCCTGCCACAAGCTGCCCCCCAACTTGGCTGTTGCTGTCCCAATGGCTGCCATCATGGAAAAGCCATTTCACACAACCTGCTTGCTGACATCTGGGCAGCCTGGGAGCCCGACAGAGAGGAGAAGATTCCACTGGCATCCAGAAGGAACTGAGTAACCTCCTGCCCTGGCACACCCCCACGCTGATCCCCTGTCCATGCCTCCTTGTGGCAACCCACCCATGCACCAGCTGTGGGTTTTAAGCATCTCCTGCCACCCCCTTGGCAGCCCTGCGGGAAGCCCAACATTCCTGCGGGAGAAAACCCACAAGGGAGCACCGGGGACTGCCCAGAGCCACGAATATCCATGCAGGCCCCACTTGCACGTGGTGTTTCTTGGCAGAAGAAGTGGCTCCCCTTTCTCCCCTCCACCTCCCGATATCTTTGCAGGGTCTGATTTATACACAGCACCTCAGCAGGCAGGACTGAATGAGCACTAATAGGATCAGATGGATGTCGAGCTGTCGAATACCGTAGGGCCTGATTCAATCAGCGTCTCCTTTCTCCCAGGCTCTTCCTTTCAGTATTTTAATAATGCCAGGGCTTGGCACCAGAAGATGAAGCCGTCCGTGGCGGGAGCAGTGGATCTTATCGAGACCACCGCTGCGCGAGCTAGCCATAAATGCAGTTTACCCCCCAGAGAGAGACAGGCGATGCCTGGCCCAAGCATCCCCCCTGTCAACAAATATCTGGGGCTGAGCCAGAGCCAGGGGGACACCTTCATCCCCTTCCCAGTGCTTTGCAAAGGTGGGTTTGAGCCCCAGCACGCTGTTTGCACTCCCTTTCTCCTGCTCAGCAGCGCCTTTCTGCTCAGGCCACTTAGCAGCTCTCATGTTGCATTTTGCTCTGGGAGTTACGATGATGTGCTCTGGGAATTATTATCATGGAGAGATGATGATGATGAGTTTCCACGTGAGCATGCCGCGGGGTGCATGCTGGATGCTCATTGCATCATCGTGCCGTCTGGCAGCAGCTACCTCAAACCTGGGCACAGGCATTTCCCGGCTGTTTGGGATGCAGACGTGTCACATTGTGTCGCATCAGGTGGCCACTGACTCCCCTCCACCCCACCAGCACTGAGCTTGCTCTGAAACTCAAGCAACTTTAAAGTCATGCTCCTCCCTTTCTGGAAGAGGGGCTGGTGGTTTCTCTGCTGCCAGAAGAGAGATGGGATATTTGTAGCCTAAACAGGTTTTTTATTCTCTCCTTTTGGCAGAATCTCCCCTTCTGTCTCCTAAATATAAAACATTAAATGTTTAGGGTATCCTTTATTTTTCTCCTGCTTTTAAGTTTGTAATTCAAGCCAGATTAGCGTGGTTTCCTCTTCTGTTTTATAGCCCCATCCTGGCCCCAAGTGAGCTCTCCTAATGCTCTCAGATGTTCCTCTAATGGCTTACCTAGGCTGGAACTGGATACCCTTTCCTAATGGATTGCTAATAGCCTGTTTCTGGTTTTACAGGCTCCTTCAGTTAACTCGCAACAGCAGCGATCACCACACTCACACATGCGATCTCCCCAGAAGCATGTCTGCACGCTCACCCCTGGATGCAGGCGGGTGGCCAGTCACCATGTTGAGCATCTTTGGGGAGCCCAGGACAGGTCTTGCACCCAATTTGCTCCCACCCTGTAGCGTTTGCTGCAGGAGGATCTCCCCTTTTCCCATTTTTTGGGAGGAGATCTCATGAGTTGAGCACTGACCAGCTTGGTGCATGTCCCAGGAACGTGGCAAAGCTCAGAAGGTATTTCTTAAGCAGCATCAGAGCTGGCGGCCAGGCTGAGGGAGGATTTCCTCCGGTGGGTTGCCAGCAATTTGCAGATGCCGTCGTGAAGTCTAATTGAACCCATTGGCCGCGCTGACAACATGAAATGTTAACGAACCGTGAGGCGGGCTGCGCCTCAGATCTTGAGATTTGCAGTAAAAGGTCATGAGATATTTAAAGCTAATAATGTGGTTGGGTTCTCTCCTTCCTCTTCTGTTTTGGAAGCATTAGAGCCACATTCATGAGCATTTGCTGGAAACATCCTTCTTTGAAAAAGCAAGCAGAGGTGTTCCCACCATCCCAGGATTTTAGGACCTGGGGCCACAGAGCCCCTCATGCAGGCATCTGTGCTGGCTCTGCTGCTGAGCAGCTGTGATCTGGGCAAATGATGGGGATTTGGGGACAGGAATCGTCAATTTGTGGGTATTGCCAAATATTTAGTGGTTGGGTTCATTGGTGTGAGGAAGGCACAGTCCTCTGCGCCGGCCACCGTCACTCATGTGTCGGGGTTGGCTGCCAGGGTGTGTTCAGGCTCATCTTCCAAGGCGAAGCAACATTTTTTGATCAAATAGGTGAATCTCACAGGCTGGCTCTGGAAACTCCTGCCTTGGGGCAGCCTGAAATAACCTGAAAGTGTGTGCTAATGTGTATCCTGCCTGCAACGGGCAAGAGGGAGAGATGGAGCCAGGGAAGGCAATTAGTGCCACCGCCTGCCGCAGCTGTGTCCCCGCCGGCACGGCAGCAATGTCACTTTGCGGCGGGCGCGCTTCTTCGTGCCCATTTGCATCCCCCCGTGCCGCTTTGCCCGCACTCCCCCTCTTTGCAAGGCAACCTTGGCAGGGAGGTCACCCTGAGCAAGCTGGGTTA